CCTCACCACAGTGTAAGAATGTTACATTTCTTGTAACTTTATTAACACTGAATATTACAATTTTTAAAAATTTGTGCTAATTTGATAGGTGACTAATGTTTTAACCTACATTACTTTGATTATTAGTGAAATAGAAACTTTCTCCATGAGTTTATTGATCATCTGCATTTTTTTCTTTTATTAATTGCCCTTTATTTCCTTTGATCATTTTCTGTGGGTGTATTTGCGTCTGTCATATTTTTTTGTTTATTGTTGTAGTTTAAGAGAAAGTTTACATTTCAAGTTAGCTTCTCATACAAAAATTTATGCATACATTGTTATGTGACCCTAATTGCTCTCCCTATACTGTGACAGCACACTCCTCCTTTCCACCTCTGATTTCCCATGTCCATTCAATCAGCTCCTAACCATCTCCACCTTCTCATCTCCCCTCCAGCCAGAAGCTGCTCATTTAGTCTCATGTGTCTACTTGAGCTAAGAAGCACACTCTTCACGAGTATCATTTTATGTCCTACAGTCCAGTCCAATCTTTGTCTGAAGAGTTGGCCTCGGGAATTGTTTTAGTTCTGGGTTAACAGACAGTCCGGGGGCCATGCTTTCCGAGGTTTCTCCAGTCTCAGTCAGACCATTAAGTCTGGTCTTTTTACTAGAATTTGATTTCTGCACCCCACCTTTCTCCTGCTCCATCAGGGACTCTCTGTTGTTTTCCCTGTCAGGTGGTCATAGGTGGTAGCCGGACTCCATCTAGTTCTTCTGGTCTCAGGCCAATGCAGTCTCTGGTTTAAGTGGCCCTTTCTGTCTCTTGGGCTTATACTTTCCTTGTGTCTTTGGTGTTCTTCATTCTCCTTTACTCCAGGTGGTTGGGACCAATTTGTTGCATCTTAGATGGCTACTCACTAGCTTTCAAGACCCCAGACGCCACTCACCAAAGTGAGGTGCAGAACATTTTCTTAATAAACTTTGTTATGCCAGTTGACCTAGACATCCCCTGAAAGCATGGTCCCCAGACCCCTGCCCCTGCTACTCTGTCCCTTGAAGTGTTTGGTTGTATTCAGGAAACTTCTCAGCTTTGGTTTAGTCCAGTTGTGTTGACTTCCCCTGTAGTGTGTGCTGTCCTTCCCTTCACCTAAGATAATTCTTGTCTGCTATCTAGTTAGTGAATAACCCTCACCCTCCCTCCCCACTCTTGTAACCATTAAAGAATGTTTTCTTCTGTGTTTAAACCTTTTCTTGAGTTCTTATAATAGTGGTCTTATACAATATTTGTCCTTTTGTGACTGACTAAATTCACTCAGCATAATACCTTCCAGATTCCTTCACGTTATAAGATGTTTCACAGATTCATCCTTGTTCTTTATCGTTGCGTAGTATTTCATGGTGTGAATATACCATAATTTGTTTATCCATTCGTCCATCGATGGACACTTAGGTTGTTTCCATCTTTTTGCTATCGTGAACAGTGCTGCAATGAACATGGGTGTGCATATATCTATTCGTGTGATGGCTCTTATTTCTCTAGGATATATTTCAAGGAGGGGGATCGCTGGATTGTATAGTACTTCTAATTCAGGCTTTTTAAAGAAGCCCAAATTGATTTCCAAAGTGGTTGTACCATTTTATACTCCCATCAACAGTGTATAAGTGTTCCAGTTTCTTCACAGCCTCTCCAGCATTTATTATTTTGTGTTTTTCGGATTAATGCTAGCCTTGTTAGGGTGAGATGGTATCTCTCTATAGTTTTGATTTGCACTTCTCTAATGGCTAATGATCATGAGCATTTCTTCATGTGTCTGTTAGCCACCTGAATGTCTTCTTTGGCAAAGTGCCTGTTCATATCCTTTGCCCATTTTTTAATTGGGTTATTTGTCTTTTTGTTGTTGAGGTTTTGCAGTATCTTGCAGATTTTAGACTTTTGTAAGAGTTTTCATGTATTGAGTTTATTAAACTTTTGTCATACATATTACAAATATTTTCCCCAGTTTGTCATTTGCTTTTATGTATGCCTATTTTTTCAACATAAAAAGTTATAAATTTTTTATAGTCCAGTTCATCAGTATTTTATTTTACAGTATATTTTTATTTCTGGTTAAATGCCTCCTTCATTAGTCTTCTTTTTCAAAATATATCATTGGCTGATGGTTATGTATTTCAGAATCATTTTGTCAAGTTTCTTCTCCCTGTGTGCACATGCAAAATCCCATTAAGATCTTGGTTTAAATTTATAGATCAATCTAAGGGAAAATTGGCATATTTTCATTATCAATCATTTCATCTACAAAGTTGGAATATCTGTCCATTTGTTCAAATATTTGTTAATATTCTTCAGTTAAATTTTATTATTTTATTCATATAGTTTCTGCATATTTTTGGTTAAGTAAAGTCTTAAGGACTTTGTATTTTTTAGTTGCTATTGTGAATGACAGAGCCCTGGTGGAGCAGTGGTCAGCAGCTCAGGCTTCTAATGGCAAAGTGGTTAAAAGCTCAGGCTGCTAATCAAAAGGCTGGCAGTTTGAATCCACCAGCTGCTCCTTGGAAACCCTATGAGGCAGTTCTACTCTGTCCTACAGGGTCATTATGAATTGGAATCCACTCGACAGCAATGAATTTTTTTTATGTAGGGAGAGGTAGGAGCGGAGTCTCATTCACAATTTTGTTGCTGTGTGCCATGGAGTGGATTCTGACTCAGAGTGACTCTATAGGACAGAGTAGAATTGCTCCATAGGGTTTCCAAGGAGCAGCTGGTGGATTCAAACTGCCTACCTTTTGGTTAGCAGCCAAGCTCTTAACCACTGAGCCACCAGGGCTCCTCTCCCCACATACACATAAGCAATTATATTTTCTAACTACTTCTTACTGGCTTATAGGAGATCTTTTATTTTTGTCTGTTGATAGCTATATAACTGACTTTTCCTATTCTGAAACTTTCAGTTGAAGATCCTAAGAATTTCCAGGTAGATAGAAATATTATTTGCAAATATATCACGAGATTTGGGAAATATATTTCTTTGCCTGTGTCTTCCTGAGAAAATGAAGTTTCCTACTTTCAACAAAAAGGACTCTGATTAATCTTAAAACCAAGGACACATCTGCTTTCATTGTGTAACAGCTAACCTGGCACATCACACAACTCCTCTATTATACTGTATGTTTCCAGCACTGGATTTAGTCAAAATGTGGTACCCAGACCAGCAGTATCAGCATCACCTGGAAGCTTTTTAGAAGCACAAATCCTTGGGCCCCACCCCAGACCTAGTGTATCAGCATAATGACAAGATCCCTAGCTAATTTGTATGCATGCTAAAGTTTGAAAAGCACTGCTTACAGGCTAATGAAATATAGCATTTCTTCCTTTCCCCTTTAAGCGTTTCCCCCATTTCTTTCCCTCAAGTCATTAGATACTATAAAATATTAGCAAAAGATGATTATAAATGGCAATATATAGACTGTGAAATAATAGGATAATAATAGGAAATAACGAGCCCTGGTGGCACAGTGGTTAAGCACTTGGGTGCTAACCAAAAGGTCAGTGATTCGAACCCAACAGCTGCTTCACCGGAGAAGATGTGGCAGTCTGCTCCCATAAATATTTACAGCCTTGGAAATCCTATGGGGCAGTTCTACTCTGTCTATAGGGTCGCTATGAGTCAGAATTGACTGGACGGCAAAGGGTTTTTTGCTTTTAGAGGGGGAAATCATCCTTAGAAGGTGCCTAGTAGAGTAACCAAAATTAAGCCTTCATGGTAGTTCCCTGATTTTGGATATAGTATAATTGCCTATCTAATAATTTTCTTTACATGGACTCATCTTTTTTTGAACTGAAATGAAAGTCTATATTAGTTCCACAAACGAAAACCAGCATTACTTGCCAAAATAGAACATAACTGTAAAAATAAGTTAATGAAAACAAAAGAATGTTATTAAAATATAAAAATTAACAATGAATTACAAGTGATAATATATTTATAAAAATGTATATTTAAATAGTTTTCTCAGTGAAAGGAATTGGGCCATTTATGATCGACTGGTAACTTGCTGTTGCTAAAATTAAAAGTAAGATGAGGTTCTACATCTATGTAAACATTTTTAAGTTATTTAAAACCTATCAAGTAAGGAAGACCATGTTCCCAGCATGGATCTAAGAGCTTTAACGTGTATTTAATCCTCACAAGAACCTCATGAGATTATTTATTAGCCTCCTCTATGTTTTATAGATGAGGAAACTGAAGCTTGTTCAAGTTCATTCTTGTGATACTGTGCCAGTCCATCTTACTGAGGGTGTCTCTTGTCCTCATAGGCCCTCTAATTCACCGAACACTCTGTCCTCCTCCAGTGATTGATCCCTCCTGATGAATTGTCCAAAGCAAACAAGTTGGACAATGTTCTATTGTGATCCATAAAATTTTCATTGGCTAATTTTTGGAAGTAGATCTCCAGGTCTGTCTTCCTAGTTTGTCTAGTTTAGAAGTTCCACTAAAATCTGTCCACTGTAGATGACCCTGCTGGTATTTGAAATGCCGCAGGCATAGTCTCCAGCACCACAGTGCGCAAGCCACCACAGTATGACAAACTGAGAGACGGGTGGTGGAAATTACCCTTGCACATGCTAAATAACTTAATTTTAACCAAAGAACTGCGTGATAATTAAAAATGGTAAATGCTTCAGAGGCAGTTTTCAGTGACGTGTCGTAAGTGATTGTAAGCCCGTTCTATCAGCTGTTCTCACATAAGGCAAGCCTGCCTTTGACACCTCTCTTCCCCCAAACCAGCTGGTGACGCAAACCTCTGAGAAAAAGCATTGTACTTTTTACGGGATAAAATTCCCAGGTGTTATGTCAGTGTTTTATGCGCAGAACTTTCTTATCCCTAGCTGAAGCCTAATATTTGACACTATCCTTTTTAACTGGGGTGCCTGTTACCGTCTCACGAAACTTGAGGCTCGGCGCATGCGCCATAGGCAGTTTCCGAGTACGACGCTCTGAGGGCTGTCGAGGGCTGATGGCGTCCTGGGCTGGCTGTGTTCTCTCTGCCGACTGACTGCTAGCTGCGTGGAAGATAGCCTGAATGTAGAGAAATTGGCCCTGCTCCTAGTTGGAGGGTGGACCAAAAATGTTGGGGCCATTTCCTGAGGTGTGGAGGGTGCTGAGCAGAAGCCGACCTTGAAGGTAGAGGAGGCTGCCTCCTTCAGCCCGTACCCCTCCTCCCCCGCCGCCCCCCCCCCCCGTCTCCTTTCATCTCCCCTGCCCCTATCAGGCAGAAAGCTACTCCGTTAGATTCTAACAACCCGTCCAGTGCCCCACAGGGGTCAGGCTGCTGTTTCTCTATGCCCTTTTCCTGTATAGTTAAGCTGCTTGGTCTGCTCCTGACTTTCAGAGTAAAACTACTTTTTATAATTCCTGGGAGCCCACCCACCTGACCCCCTGGAAGGGAAGTGTCAGAAGGTCCAGGATGACTTTCTGGCACTTTTTGGAAAAAAAAAGGAAAACCACACAATTTAATAAGCCACACAAACAAAAAGATCAATGCTTATCCACAGTCCAGAGAAATTAATAATGAGGTAGAGGGAAAAGCTCGGATTCAGAGTTAGGGGAGCTTGCTGGCTGTGTGATCTTGGTTGAGGAAGTCATTTAACCTCTCTGGGCCTCAGTCTTCTCCTCTTTTAAGTGGAGTGGCAGTGGAGTGGGGAGATGAATAATTGCCACCTCACGGCTTGGTTGGGAGGATGAAGTGAAATGATGAAGTGGCAGTGTTTTCTTTGTGAACAGGGCAGCTCTCTCCAGGACTGAAGCATTACTGGTGTTATATTTGTGTCCTCCCACTACAGTACCTTCAAATTTATTTCAGAAGGAACTGAATTTTAATTTATAAAAATAAATTAACTGAAAATCCATGAAAGTTTGGTATCTTTGGCCCTCTGACAACTTAAATGTAGCCCCAGAAGTCAGTCTCTATCATGAAAGGGAGAGGAGAGGGCCACCTTAAAATGATCTGGTACAGTCCCCGGAGATAATCTGAAAGTATGTAAAATGGTCATTTCCTCATGTTCAGGCCATATATTCCACTCTTTTATGAACCTGCTTGGCGACCTCAAGGTCTACAGTGGTAACCTTCTTTCCTCCCTTCCAAATCCTAGCTTTTATTCCCCACCACCTCCCATGCCTCGAGCCATCTGTCCTTTTGTCCACATTTACCACTGTCCCCAGAGTTCAGTGGCTCCATCTGATTTCCTGGATGGCCTCCGGTGTCAGATGCCAGAGCATGGAGAAGGCAGAAAGAAGAGTCCTGAACTGTGTGTGTTCTTAGGGGGTTTTATTGTTGTTGTTAGTTGCCAGTCGAGTCAACTCCGACTCACGGCGACCTTGTGTATAACAGAATGAAATGTTGCCTGGTCGTGTGCCATCTTCCTGATCATTGGTATGATGTCAGGGGTGGGACTCACAAAATAATTAGCCTTTCACCAGTCTGGATGAACAATCCTGCAAGTTTCTGCCTTTTGCTCTTATGTCAAAATAACTGCCTGACCTAGGAGAGGAAGGGAGAAGGAGAAAAAGCCCATCTGTCAGGGTTTGAATTTTGTCCCCCAAAAAATGTGTATCAATTTGGCTAGGCCATGATTCCTGGTACTGTGTGATTTTCCTGTATGTTGTAAACCGGCCTCTATGATATTAATGAGGAAGGATGGGTGGCAGTTGTGTTAGTAAGGCAGGACCTGATCTACAAGACTGGATTGTGTCCTGAGGCAATCTCTTGAGATATAATAGACAGAAGTGAGCAGTGAGACAGGGGGACCTTGTACCATCAAGAAAGCAGTGCCCGGAGCAGAGCGCGTCCTTCGGACTAGGGTCCCTGCGCCGAGAAGCTGCTAGTCCAGGGGAACACTGATGAGAAGGCCGACAGAGAGAGAAAGACTTCCCCTGGAGCTGACGCCCTGAATTTGGACTTTTAGCCTACTTGATTGTGAAGAAATAAATTTCTCTTTGTTAAAGCCATCCACTTGTGGTATTTCTGTTGTAGCAGCACTAGATAACTAAGACACCAACCTGTGACAAAAACATTCAATGTATGGCTACAGTCAAGTGAGGGGCCTGTAATACTTGTAAGAGGAGGAGCGTCTGGTTAGGAGATGTGGGGCCAAGGGTTTGAGGATCAGCTACTGTAATGATTCCAGTGCTTTGGAAAGGGTCACTTCAAAATTTAGTCATTAAAGTCAGACTTCTAAATAAATTTGGAAACATGCATTACCAACCAAATAGAGTATCCTCTAACATTCTTTTACTACCCAAGTCAATGGTCTCTGAGCCTAAGCATTCATTCATTCATTCAGCATTAATAAGTGTCAGTACCAGGCCCCTCCCACAGGACTGTAGCTTCTGGCTCTGTGAGTCCATCTAGATGGTAGACTCCTTATGGCTGCTGGTCACCAGCTTATTTGGAAGCCTGGTTAAAAATGCCACATCTTCACAAAAGAAAAACAGGAGAGGACACAAATAACCCAAATAAGAAATGAAATGGGGGACATTACAACGGACCCAACCGAAATAAAAAGGATTATAACAGAATATTATGAAAACTATATTCCAACAAATTTGAACACCTAGAGGAAATGGATAAATTTCTAGAAACACACGGCCTACCCAAACTACAACAAAG